AACAGAGAGAGGTGGCTCCTCCGTGGGGGTGTACCTTTGGGGTATATATTTTGTATCTGGCAAGTGGAGTCTCTCTCGGCTCCCTGATCATCACATGAGCCACTTCCCTCTGTCACACTCTTCCACCATGATGTTCTGCTTCACCTTGAGTCCTGAGGAATGGAGTCAGCTGCCTATGAACTGAGACCTCTAAAACTGTAAGCCCCCAAATAAACTTTTCCTCCCCTAAAATTGGTCTTGTCAGGTCTTTAAGTCACAGCAGTGAAAAAGCTGACTAAAATAGCTGGAGAGTTAATGGAAGAGGAAGTGGGAACATAATAACATCAAGAAAGGAGAAACTTTCACCTCCTCCTTTCCTTAGATAACGGTGACTCTAAAAGGGTAAGCAGTGGTGTCCTAGGCCTGAATAAGAATGTGTGAGGGACAGAAGTCATTGACCCCAACCCCAAATTTCATCATACGAAGGTTACATATATTATTTGCATTTGAGTGCTTTATTATATTGGAATTGCAGTGATATTAACATTTGTACAAATGCACAAAATCTTGTCTCTTCTTGCTAGAAAGAGATGTAAAAATCTGACCTAGTCCAACAGTCTTAATGAACTCATTGTCCATTGGTAACAATAAATGTGTTCAGGATGCAACAAAAAGCTTAACATAAAATTAAACATATTAAATGCTGCAGCAAATATTTACATGTATGTACCCCCAAGTTTTTTCTCCTTCCAATAGGAAGGTGGTTGCTTTACAGATAGACAGACAAACACAAAATGCTTTGCTGTTTACAACGACAAACAACCCCAAGTCCAGAACTTAAAGTGACAGCACCTTTTTTTTTTTTTTTTTTAGTGGGGGGGACTTCCTCAGTCAACACTTACTTTACACAGTGCTAAACTTTTTTTTCTTTAAATTATAATTTTGGACAATATTTCTATTTCCATTGTCCTAGAACATTGTGTTTGAACGGAGCCTTTTTTTTTTTTTTTTTTTTCTGGGTCTTTTCAGAAGATCTCCAACCTCATGCCCTCACCAGGGAGGACATTTCAAGCTTATATTTTTTCCAAAATAATGGTGGTAGGCAGCTTCCTCTCTCTGGGAGGTGGATGGGGTTAGCAGAGGTTAGAAGGAGAGGGGGTGAGCAGGTCTTCTTGTCTATTGGCTGTCTGGTTGGGAAGGGTCCTTTCTCGTAAGCCCACTGTACTTGGGCACTGTTGATACCTTCCAGTGTGTCCTGCCATGTAGGACCACTGGCATTCCAAAGGAGCCAACTAGAATCTAATAAGCTTGTTGTGCGGAAGATTTTAATGATGTATTTAAAGCTAATTTATTCAGGTCCCACATTCTCAGTCCTGAGGCCAACTTATATTATTTTTTAAAAAATTCTATAAAGTTCTATCATATAAAGCTTAGTGTAAGAAAACCTTAAGTAGCTTAGGAAGAGCTTTCTAGATCCTGATGTCTAATGAGCTAGATATTGTAAGTTGGTTTAAATATAGCAGTTGATAATTATTGATTCCTTTCTGATAATAAGCTTGGAAAGGTATCACAGTGCCACTTTCAGAATATTAATCTTTTAACAAATGCTGGCAATTTGGCTTTTCCCCCCTCTACAGCTTGCACTTAAATAGGTTTTTCTTTTCTTCAAAAAATAGACGATTTATAAGGAAAAAAATATATAAACATTCTTTAAGCAATTTGGCTACAAGCATTACATCACCGAAAAACTTCACAAGAAATAGTAAAATATTTTGAATGGACATACACATTTTTATTTTCACAACAATGACAAGATAGGTTTTTTTTTTGTTGTTGTTGTTTTGTTTTTAAATTTTCTTTGTGTGTTTATTTTGGTATTGGATCTTACTTGTAAGTTTATTGCTCCAGAGTTTTCTTATTCTTTCTTAGACTATAATTGTGAAATAGAGGTGCTGTCTCTAATCATGTTAACAAGGCAACACTGAATTTTTTCGAGACCTAGGAATGAAATCGATAGGGCCATTGCTATGTCGGCAGCCCCAGAAACTATGGCTAGGACAACAGTCAAACGTGCACCATGATGCACAAAAGAATAAGTCTCCTGGCTCATTCAGGACACTTTGGTTTGGAGGACGAGATAGAAAATTCTTAAGTAGCTTAGCTGCTGCCTCTCACATCTGTTGCATAATATAACATTTTTTTAAAAAAAAACATGCTAAGAATAAAGGACAAAGACTATAAACCTATAGTGTACTGGCTCTTCTTGGCATTCTTGTAGCAGGCTTCACCTAGGCTGGTGTGAGAAACACGTCTTAGCTATGCTACTCACGAATGCGCACAAATGTACCTGGTGCAAATATTCTGTAAAGTATTTTATATGACGCAGCTCAGAGCCTTAGAAGAAGGGCGGAGGAATCCTCAAGGGGGGAGCAAAGGCAAGTTTAAAGATAGGGAAGAGGTTAGAAAGAGAACAAGAGAAATGGAAAGGAATCAAAAAAGCTAAAGTGCAATTTTAAAATATAAATTATTTTAAAAGCAGAAAAGAGATTCTAAATTGCTCCTGTTCGCATAGGCACGGTTTTATTCAAATGTAAATGGGTTGTTTCCTTTCCCTTCTCAGATACACTGCACAATGGGGCTTGAATGGCTTAAAGCTGCTGCATCTTGTTTGGGAAGGGGTGGGAAGCTCTAAGGAGGCTGAGCAGTGCAAGGCCTTCTGGGAGATGGGGAGAGAATCAGAGATGAAGCTGTTTTTGCACTTTTACAAGAAAGCTGTTCCAGTTATAGTTACTGATTCCCTTTAGCGAAACTCTGCTTCCTAAATTAAAGAGCTTACTTTAAAAAATGAAAAGAAGAAATAAATGTTAAAACCAAACGGTTCAGAATGTAGATTTAAAAATAACTCACAGAGCAATACAAATCCTCGAAATATCTATGCACAGAGATCTAAGCAAACGTTTCCACCAAATGATGGTGAACAGCCATTTGAAACCCTGAAAAATGAAAAAAAACACACAACTAGGGTAGTTCATTATGGACTAATACTTTAAAAACAAGTAGATCCTACAGAAGAATACTGTTCAAATGGAATGTTTAAAAATAACATTTATTAATAAATATCTTATAAAATTCTAAATTAATAGATTCCTGTTCAAATTTTGCTTTGGTCCTTGAATTCCACTGTATACACACATACATACATATACACTTTCTTAGATGGTTTTAATTAATCAGAAAGAAGCACATTCTATCCTAACTGGATGGCTAGTTTTATAGCAGTTACTGATGCTTAAAAGACCAAAGGCTGGTCTTTTACTGTAGCTGGTTTAGGACTTTAATGACAAACTCAACTAATCTACTAAAATTTGCTTAACTAACAGGCAACAACTACCTGAATATTGTCCGTTGACACCTCTCTCTGGGAACATGCACTGCACTTTATTTCACTGACTAGATGAGCTACCAAAGGGCATTTGCTCTAAGTCACCCTACTTTTTATAACATATGCCTTGACGGCTCACAAGCCTCTTGTCTCCCTCAGGGTGTGCTGAGACAGTGAGGTGACCTGCATGCACCATGAGGGGAGGGTATGAGTGCAAAGGGAAAACATCAGACTTGACACCTGGCTTTGAAATTAATACATTCATCCATGGCTGGGACTTCTACTGTCCCTGTCCCAGCCATCTTAGATGGAGAAATGTGTCAAGAACAAACAATTCAGATGCAGAAACCTCCACTTAGGTGGGGATTCATCAAGTAGAAATGCTTTCAGGTGTACTAAGTTGTTAGCCCCAGCACATTAGGCAGGGGAGGCACTGTAGAAGTTTCCAGTAAGCTGGCAATGGCTTCCAAGGCAGATCCAGCCAATGAAGAAAGCCACACACAAATGAGAGGCAGGGCTACAGGGACCTTTCCTCCCCAGCATGGTGCTCTGAAGGCCATTTTCACGACTTGTAAAAATGTCTACATGGCTGGAGAGAGAACTGGCTTAAAAAATGTTTTCATAGATTGGCAAGATTTGTGATCTGGTGAAGGCTCTGCCTTTAGGTGAAGTCCTGACTATTGGTATGCCAAATGCTGGATGTGACCAGTGAATCTTTCTGTTTGGGATCTCAAGCACTGGCAGCTAGCTGGCATTTCCCATTTACTGTATTTCCATACTGTGAATGAACATACCTAAAGGCCCTGCATCTAACAAGAAGGCAGTTTACTCTAATTATACGTTGAGGCGGGTTTGCTAACGTGTGTGGTTGGTTTGCCTACTTAGCATAAAAAACAGACATAATTGAGCTATAAATAATGCACATCAGTCAAACTGTCGAGTTGCTGAATTAAGCAAACTCAGGCAAGTTCTTAACTGCAAAGGCTTTCAGTTTAACAACTAAATATTTCAATCAAGAGAAGTAACTAAATCATAATTTTAGTGACAGGTCACTCCCTGGGCATTTTGATATTACTAATGGATTTTTTAAAAATCCATTTCATTAAGTGCTATGCATCAGAAAAGAAAGGAAAGTTTTTGTTTACTTAAAGCAAAACAAAATGAAAATTTTTAAAAAATACCCCCAAAACCCCAATCATTCCAGTTCCTTCTTTTCCTTTTTCATGTGTGCTGGGGGGAGGAGGACATATAGATAGTATTAGGAAGGAATTCTAAAAAAAAATTTTTTTTTTGTTTTCAAAACAGCAATACAAATGTTAACTTCTTTTTAAAACTAAATCTTAAACATTTCTTAAGAAGCCAGTCAGGTTAAACCATTGTTACTGTTGGAAAAAAAACATAACTATGAATGCAGTATTTAAAATACTTGAAAATGATATGTTTCTCTAAAATATAACAGAAAATCCTTTTCATTTGCATTATTTTTATGCTTTTCTTTTTTCATTTTTTTCTTTTTTCTTTTTGTTTTTGTTCTGATTCTTAGACCATATATCCAAGTCCTAAGTTGTACTGAACCCTCAAAACCATCTTTCAAAAGCACTGCATACATGGAAAGATTGTTGATAAATATTGATTTAAAAAGTAAGTTATTAGATAAAACTGGAACTAGTTATAAAAATCATGCTTCATGGTCCTCATATTTTCTCCTTTTTTTTTTTCTTCTCCAAAATAGATTCTTAAACTATGGTGAGAGAAAAAAAGCCACATCCTTCCCTTTTCTGAATTCTTATAAAAGTGACACTTTTTGTAAAATACTGTTGGTTTTAAAACCCATACAGAAACACACACACACACACACACACACACACACACACACACACACGGAGGTCAAGCATTCAAATGGAGATGAAACACCAGCACCTGCCTAGACTGCTAGAGAGAAACACTAGCCCCTATTATTTGTGAAATGCAATATTAAACATGAGCACAGTAGAATGGCTTGTTCCAAGGAGGCACGACTGTGGTTTGGGTCCTATCTGTTTTTTTTTTTTTATTTTTTTTTATTTTTATAATGGGCAAGTTCACGTAAGCTGTTGAACATATAAATCAGAATTATTCAGAAGGGTGGAGTGAGCAGCCTCTGCCACTTATATCCATGGGATTCCGTCAGCAGCCACGGAGCGCCGTGACTGTTCTGGGAGCTGAGAGCACCCCAGGGAAATACTGGACTTGCTTTCTACAGGAGTGAGTCTGCTTTCACCCACCAGAACAGCAGAGCTAGTTCTATAGGCTTAAGAAAAAAAAAATAATAATAAATCTTAGGCTATTAGCAGCTGATGATTGAACAATGTAATCTGTGTAGTGAATAGAGCCCTTCTGAATTATTATATAGTGCATGGATTTTCAACATTATAGACAGGTTGTATAAAACCAGTTGTAATTCTAGGGTGTGATGTTATAGCCCCGAAACATAATTTGGACTTTCACAATTGGGGCTTACAAATCTCCCTCTCCTACTGTCTCCACAGCTGGCATTCAACAGTGCTTCACCTATAACTAAACCACCTTTATTTGCTCTGATTATTAAAAACCTTAAATCAGGCACATTAAACATCTCCTGGTTACTATTTTGTAAAAAGTGAGAATTGAATGAACTCCAGCTGTGGGTTACAGGCAAATGAAGCAATGGCTAAGTCCATATTTTTGAGGTTTGCTTTTTCTTTTCTTTAAACATTATTTTTTTTCTTCACATGTAATGCTAAAGGGGAAAAACATAAAACAGAAGAAGGTTAAAATGAAGAGTAAACAGGGAGCCCAAGATAAAGTGTAAATAGAGAGGGAAATTGGGCATTTGAGCAAGTGGACCAAGAGAAGAGGAGAGGAGGGGAGGTGCTTGGTGGTTTTATTAGGACGTGGGTGGATCTTCTAATTTGTTTTCTGGTAAGACAGAAACAGTTGCGGAAAGGCTGTATGTTTAATCTGGGATTCTGGTGATGTCACAGCGCAAGCTCAACATGAGTTATGACGTCATCAGATTTCCTACCCAGTTACCTTGATCAGTCTCACTTGACATCTAGGTATGCCTCATTTTGGCTAAAAGCTGTGTTTTAACAAGAGTCATTGTTTCAGACAAAGGGCTGGACTGATAAGAAGGAAACCATGGCTATATACAGAAGAGGTTCCGTTTATAAACAAGTAACTGGTACCAGAAAATTGGAGAAAAGCACCAAAGCGTTTCCCAAGCCGACAGATATTAATTGCATAACTCCCTTTTTTTTTTCTTATATAACTAAGTATAAAAGACAACATTTCCATAGTAACTATAAAAATGAAAGCCAGTCTTTGAAGGGCTGAGGAGTCTTCCAGCTCTGAGTTAATTCTAAAAATGCCCTTAGGAGAAAGGGTGCATGGTATGCTACAGCTCTTCTTGGAGGCAAGGTCTGACCCGTGCATTTTAAAGGATTGGATTCAGGTCTGTTCGGTGAGTAGTGAGCTGACTGAGGGTGGAGCTTCCCACCACCTCACTGACTGACGAGGAAGTAGTGATGGTGTTATGCTGGATGACCTGCTGCTGTGAGCAAGCTGGGACAGGACTTGCGGGAGGACTACTCTCCGGACCTAGGAAAAAACACATATGCACACACCAATATAGCTTTTTCTTGTGTGGACTTGCAAACTCCTCAGAATAAAAACAGGACCAGACATTGACTTGACATGGAAGGGTTGCGCACATTTCCTTCTGGAAGTTGAATTCAAAATTTCATTTTAATCTGGGGTCACAAAGCTATATCTCCCGGATTTATCATTATAAGCCAAGCCATGCTTCCTGTTTTGGCAAAATGATTTCACGTGTTTGAGTCTTGATGTGTGAACTGCCCCATCTTGGATTCTCAGATAAACAGCCATATATCAAATGTGGAAAAATACTCACATGTGGAGGGAGAATCTGTGTTGCTCAATCTAAAAAATTATTTGAAAATAAATTGATCTTCAGCCACAGATCACTGGTCCTTCCCCCAACCCCTATTCAATTAGCATTTAACCTACTGACTTCTGGGTGCAGAAACTGGGATCAAGATCAGTTTATCTAATGGTAAACTGAAAATGGGTCACTAGCTTTTCAGCTCAGTGGGTCCCGTGCAGTGTATGCCAAGGCACTGGAAGCAGTTCACCAAATGCCTTTTTCCCAGTTTACAGATTTCTCAAGAAGACAGGCCACTGGTGAATGGCTTCCAGCAGGCTATTTTCTTACCAGCTACAAAATAGGAATTTGATAGTATTTTGAAATATAGAATGCCAGGGAAAGCATAGCCCAAATCACCAGGAGGTGGCATGTATGATGTTGGATGGGATCAGTAAAGAGGTATCCTCCTAGCAGAATAGGCATTCAAGAATTCCAGTATATATGCCTGGGAGTACCACTACCCTTTCCTTTGCTCTTTCGGTAAAATTCAACACAAAATTTGTGGCAAAACACTGGATACCAAAAAAAGCAAGAGTCTGGGACTTACTTAAATATCCTTGTGATTCTTTCTGCATGGCTGTTATTGGGCAGTCTTTATGTGTTAACAATAACTGTTTCAGCTGGGCCACCTCATTTTTCAGCATAGACACTTCATTCTGGAAAGAGACAAATTAAAGTCATGTTGAGAAGACCAGAGAGTATAACCCAAAGCCCTATGCCGTCTCAACAATGAAACTAGCAACCTTTTCTATTATGTCTGAAAGACAATAAGACCATTTTATTTAAAAGGGGGTCCATCTGAAGGTTTGAAGCTTGCCTTCAATTTACTAAGGACTTAGTTAGACTTTAAATCAAGAGCGGAACTCTAGTCAAAGGCCAGACATGGAAGGGTTGCACACATTTTAGGTGTGCTCCCGAGCCAGGTGATGCAGGTGAGAAACCCCACTGCACACTTTCTGTCTGATTCTAGAAAGATAACAACCCAGCCCAGCTCTGCCAACTTCATTTGTAAGACAGAGATAGAAACACCACAATATCATATGAGTTATTGTGAGGGTTAAGGAAGGTGGCAGATGTAAAACACTTGGAACAATGCATAGTGCATGTTAAATATTCAATAAATTTAGTCATTATAACCTTCACAATTTCAGGGTTACATTCCATACAAGGACAAGGAGAAGCACGTACAAGAAGTTCCATTGGGTTGTGACTGAGCAACCCAGCCTGTGGCCCACTTTGAAGGGAGCATTGAAGCCCATGGTACAGTGTTGGCTATCTACTATCAGGAAAATGTCAGCCCAGGGAGACAAGAAGTAATAACATTTGGGGCTGTGATTGGATTAATTTGATCAGTCTGTTAACTATTTTGGCTAATTTCAGTCTATAAATTCCTTTCTTCCACAATATCAAGATTGTAGGAGTTTTTATTTACTTAGATAAGTGCCTTAAATTTTTACTTTTATGTAGTAATCCACAAAGACTTGTTCATAGCTTTGTAGAACAGTGTGCTGGGCACCCATTGTCTACAAATATGAATGTGGAATAGATGGTTGGCTGGAAGGTGCTTCCTCTTGATAAAAGTAAACTATAAACATCACACTATATAAAATAAGCTGTTTTAAAATTGTGATAAATAATATCCTCTCTCTGGCCAAGGCTGATTTGAGGCTGGCAGGCATTATATTTCACATGTAGGAAAATTTTAAAAAGCATGCACAGAAAAGGGTATTGAATGTTGCTGTCATTAAGTTGTATCTACACTTGGCATATGAACTTGGCTTTGCAGGCGTGTATTTTTCACATAGAGGAGTCAGGATGGGATTCTAAATGTTACTTTAAAATAACTAAAACTTGTTTCAAATAACATCTCCCATTTCCAAAGTCATTTAAAACACTGAGTACAACATTATAAGTAACTGCACACTGAGTAACATTAATAACAAGGTAATAAAAATCTCATCTACAAAAGCATTTCCCTTTCCCCTCTGAACTACAAAATAAAAATGCCTGTTTGAGAAATTAACCTTAATGATGAATAAGTCACTTAATTGCACAGGAAGATTGCTCTTAAACCTGAGAACATTCATGAAGGTAAACAGTACGTCCCACTTCCCAATGAGTAGGATTGATAAGGGGTCCTGTCACAACCCAAACTGACCCTTGTCAACCCCTTTATTTATAGGATAATTTATGATAGCCTTAAACGCTAACTCTTTTCTCTCCAAAATTATGCCTAAATCCTTGTTTTTTCCCAGTTCTCCTTCTGCATAAAATAACAGGATCAAAGAAAGTCATTGTTAGACCATCATATAAAAGAAATCTCTGGTTAAAAACAAAACAAAACAAAACAAAAAACAAATAACCCACAAAACAGACAAGGAAACTCAGATTGTGTGTGTGTTGTGTGTGTGTGTGTGTGTGTGTGTGTGTGTGTGTGTGTGCTTCAGGATGAAATGTCATATTATTTGCATTTTGACCACAGGAATAACATTTTTCTGAAATCACCATTCCTGGACATCTGCCCTCTGAGTAGAGGTTCTCAGCTTCAGATAATATAGGCAATTGTTTGAAAATGGAATTGAGTTTCAAATTTAGTGCATTCACACTTTTCTACTGTGATTTAGAAAACGATAAACAAGCCAATATGAAACCCAAACTGAGTTTTCTCGATTTCTTGAACTTCAGGAAGAAAAACTAATCCTGCTTGGTGGCCATCTTGCAGAGGGTGAGTTTAGGCTCCTTTTCTTCTGCCACCCTATTCTGGGCAGTTAGACCCTTTGAAGGTAGCACTTGCTCTCCAGGCATGAAGAGTTCATTGCTTCTTTAAATAAAACTATATGAATCCCTTTCTCTGGGTTTCTACACACACCAAACCATTTCACAATGAACCTTTTGCTTATATAAAACTGTTTTACTATAGAACAGTAGCAAATTACAATTCTGAACATTTTATATATATATATATATATATATATATATATATATATATATATATATATATATATATATATATATATATATATATATACACACACTCCTGGTCTGTTTCCTCTGAATAGCAAAACACTTTACCAACAAACCAATATGTTCTAAGTATAGAAACCAAGGCCCTGAGAATTTCAAAGGTCTATAAAAATGTAAAAATACAGAGAGTGTTGTAAAAACTGACCATCACTTAAAGATATATGTGAGTATGGACATATTTCTAATGTAACGCGCTAGTCATTGTAGTCATGTTATGATTGAAAAATAAATAACTAATATCTTCAGTAAAGAAGAAGAGTCAGCCTCTTGTTCAGATCATATACACACATAACTATGATACTGTAAATATTAAGTAAAGACCTAAAAGGCACAGAAATTCATGGTGCAGATCTATCAGAGAAAGGAACGCTCAGCTGGTGGGTGGGCATAAAGGGTTAGTCCCAGGGTTCAGTCCCCACTATTGAGAGAGAGACGGGGAGACAGAATGAATAATGGCTGTTGAGGCCTAAATGGCTACATCAACCAGGTACAAAACAAGACAATTGTACAAGTTCTCTAAGTTCCTCCCAGAAAGAGTTTCTTATTCCATGAGTGTTTTTGTGTTGCCTTCTATTGAAAAACTGAATTACCTGATTCTGTAATGAAGAACCCAATCTTTACTTGTATTCATTAATTCACTACCATTAATATTCTCAAATATATTTATTAATCTTTCAGGTCTTGGATTTCATAAGGAATCTAACTTCAGCATCTCATGTGCTCCTTGCCCTCATCAGGGCAGATTCTAAAGCAATATATATAGTTTCATTTTACAGCAAAGTTTTGTATGTCCATACGTGTGTCCACGTTGTGAGAGACCATGGCACCTTCAGCAGTTTCCAGAAGGGCACTTTGGCTTAAGGAAGGTCAAGAATCACTGTCCTAGAAAAGGAGAATGGGTTGTGTACTCTGTACATGCAGAATTATTTTAAAGATTCCATATTGAAAGACCGATTGATGTAGGAAATGCAGAATTACTAGACGATATTTTAAGAAAAATCCTTTCAAGGTAACATAAGTAGAATCACCTTGAATTCATTTTGGAAGGGAAAAACCAGATAGCAAATGTTTCAAAGTGCATGAAAGAAATCAAATGTGGCCTCCAAGTCCAATAGGGAAATAAAAGCCAGGACTTCTGGAGGCATTTTCTTACTCTGAATGACCTTACTTTATGAATCAAGGAAAATCACCAGTTGTAAAATTCCCCTCTATAGGTTATAGTAAGAGTTCTAGGTCTCAGTAGAAACATACTTTGCAAAAGCAAAGTATAAATAATAAGTATTGATTCTTTTGTGATAATCAATCTTCATTTTTTAAAAAAAATTTTATAAACTAATTTGAGTTTGCTACTCTAAAGCAGTAAGCCATTTAAATAGAGACTGTAGGAGGAAAAATCCAGTTGGACTGATCTATTTTTAAATCCATAAGTTTTTCAATACTATGATAACATTCTTTAAACAAGTAATCCAAGGAGTCCCTAAAAGCTACAGTTACAGTTTCTTTGTTTGGGGAATGTCATTTTGATATGTGATAAATCCAGAATGTTTTTTTTGGTGTGAGCAGTAGTTCATGCCAAAAAAATAATTATCAAAATGGGCCCTACGATGTACCCACCACCCCCTCTTGTTTTTAGATTAGCGGAGACCAGGTTTGGTTCACTCTGCAACAAAGGGCTTTCAATTTGTCAAGCAACAGTTCCCATCTGGCCTATTCTCTTGCCAAGTCCCAGACCTGGGCTTGTGTGTCTAAAATTTCAGCGGCAACTTAGACCATGTGTCTTTGCACTAAAAAGGAAAAGCAATTACTTCCATGCACCCATGGAAGTGCAGATGATTTCCATATCCTCTACTGAACTCAAATGGTCTACTGAGCACCACATCAGTGGTGATTTTTAGCCACTCTGTATCACAAAGAAGGATGTGAATTCCTTTAGTTTAAGGTCTTTTTAGAATGAAAGATCGAAAAGCAGTGGGTTAAGTTCACAGAAATCTTGCTGGACTCCTCCTTCTGCTCCTTGCTGGTTGGGTGATAGCTGGGAAGTCTCCTCATCTCTYTGAAACTCAGTTTCTCCCTATATAAAATGTCAGTTTGGGTGGTTTCTAATTTTCCCTTAATTCCTTACACCTGTGCTGACCTCTTGGTCAGATTTGTTGTGTGACTAGGAAATGAAGTCTGGGGTTTTGATTTTTGTTTTCTTAGGTCTGATTTTTTCCAATCTGAAATGCTGCAGCCTAACTAGAAGGTTCTATGCTGGAAAACAACCCCACCGTGGCAGCTGGCCATCCAGACCTTGGGTATTCCGTTTGGCTGGTGTTTGTTTGCTTAGCACCTTTCATTTCTGTTTACTTAAAATTTGGCTTACTGAACCAGCCTCAAGAGAGACACCTTTTTTTGTGTTGACAAAGGTCCAGTGAGAGGGAAAGGGTCACTCAAAGGTAGCAGAATCTCTGCAGCGTCCTCTCCAGCATCACAGGGCAAGATGCAGAAGCCTCAACGTCACAGAAAACACTGGACACTTGTGGCTTCTGTCCTTCTGAAGCAGAGCAGTGGTTGGAAAATATCAACAACTCAGTCTTTTAAGAGGTTTTCTCTTCTTTGCACTCTGCATTAATAACCAAAGGATATTAGTTTCTGTTACATGAACTCAATAGATTTTTTCCCTCCTGGTTTTCAGGAGCTAGATTTCTTAAAATCTCTTTTTTCCTAGCCATTTTGCTCTAAAGAAATTACAAAAAGAAATCAGTGGTCTAGTAAAGGGTAAGTTTACCTTGAGTATTTTGTGAAAGCAGTCATAAATATGTGTATGTTAAGTCATGAACTCATCTGACCTCAAACTCAACTAGCATCATTGCTTTCCTGGCTCTCTGCTAGGACCTGGAGGAACTCAGCAAGGATTCATTTTACTTACCACTGACTTAAAGACTGCTTGTATGTGATAAGTGMCAGCTGGTAAGCCAGTGGTTTTTAACCAAGGCTGATTTTTGCAYCACTACCATGATCCCAGTTCTAACCACAGGGCATTTGGCAAGGTCTGGAGATATTTTGGTTATCACTTTTGGGAGGGGGGGGATATGCTCCTTTGTTCCTGACACCTAGTGGGCAAAGGCCAAAGATGCTGCTCAGTAGCCTACAATACATAGATCACAACAAAGGAAGATGGGGCCTAAAAGCCAACAGTGCCAAGATTAAGAAAACTTGCATGTTTTCACCATCCATCCACAGCCCTAAGGACTGGGAGCAAATTCCTGGATCCCCTCTTTAGTCATTGCAGAACCACTGTGCAATGTTTTTTAGTTCTACACAGACCAGAGCTTTTATTAACATGTATGTGCAAATCAAATCGTTTAAAAATGATTTAGTCTTATCCTTACCAATAATATCTGTGAAATTTCAGGTTTCAGGTTCTAATTACATTTTTCAATAAATATCAAGAGGAAAGTGTGACTATTAATATTAAAACCCTATCTGTGTTCTACCTCAAAGCTTCTCAAAGATTACTGTGCCTGCCARATTCTAGGAGTGGCTTTAAAGGTACTTAGGTCCAGCCATTCCTCAGTGGATTGACACCCTGAAATCACATCCATGCCAAGGGTGGCCAATTCATGGCCACTCCAGAGATGGAGAATTCATCCACTGGTTCAATAAACACTTCTTAAGTGTAGACACTCTACTAGACACAGGGGAAAGAAGTGGGGCAGGGGTAAAAAGACATAGTCCCAACCTTTATGTAGCATACAAACTGGGGTGTGGGGCAATTGGTGTGTTATTTTCTTCCCCATATCTTGTCATGTTTCCCAGTTTCTTGCTTATGTCCATCTCAAAAAGAATAATACATTTGGGAGAGGAGGAGTCAACATCTATAAGTTRTGAAATTTCATCCATGTATAACCAAAACTTTCCTCATCTACTTTCCCTTTGTACACTGAATGCCCTAAGGGTATTTCCATTCAGTGAAATTGAAACTGCAAAGGCTGCTGGGCCACCGTGGTGGTGCACACCTGTAATCCCAGTGGCTCTGGAAGCTGAGGCAGGAGGATCCTGAGTTCAGAGCCAGCCTCAGCAACATAGTGAGGCCCTAAGCAACTCAGATAGATGCTGTTTCAAATATTTTWAAAAAGGGCTGGGGATGTGGCTCAGTAGTTAAGCTGCCCTGGGTTCAATCCCCAGAACCAAAAAAGAAAATCCAAAGCTTTGGGGATTTGGCACATGAACTGCACAAAGGACCAGAAGTTGGGTGTGGGGTGGAAATGAAGGTGATCTGTGAACTATTAAGATGCTATTGGCCATCCTCTCAGTTYCTGGAGGTTATAATCTCAACTCTTACTGCTATCTCTATTTGTCACRTCAATTTGTTTTTGTGGGTGAGCATGCTCTTCTTTTGATGTCAGAACAAAGGCTCTGAAGTGCACTATGTGTGCTCTATGCCCTGAGTACTAGAGTTTCCTCGTCTTCTTCCCAAACACTCCAGAAGTGGCCTTATTATAAAATGTCCCCAGTTAAGCCATTCATGAAAAGCAAAATTCATGCATGATTCAAATCTTACTGAGTTTGAAAACAAGATGGAAATTTGCCTTTTCTTTCAGAGCCAAATAACAACCATAAACCTTCCTTTCTTCCACTCAACAAAAAATATAGGTCAKAGGGCATAAGCCAAAGGGATCCTCTCAACCTGCCGAAGTTGAACTTTCAGTTCAAGGCTTATTCTGGGCCAGGTACTGTGTCAGCTGCTCCATAGACATTAGTTCATTTATTTCTTCTAAACACTCTCTAAAGGTACCATTCCCATTTCATACATGAGGAAACTGAGTCAGGGAGGTTAAACTCAGCAAGCACTGCTGAGCCAGGGTTTGAACCACTGTCTGATCAAAGCCTGAGCTCTCAGCCCTACGACTTAGCTGGGTGGGTCCTCCCTTTTCAGAGCTTTGTAGGTGGAGTGACTGAAAACTGAATGGACTATTTTGTTTGTCTCAGAATTAATAAAGCTGGATGAGTAGGCTTGAGCCTCCTCTGAGGGCGAAGTGTGTGGTAGGACTCTGTAAGTCAACAGGAGCCTGGGAGGCAGGAAATACCAACTGTGCACAGGGCCTTGGAGAACTGGGGAAAGAGACAGTGGCCTTGCACCTGAAGCTGCATGTTTGTCTGGGTGAGTTCTTCTGCTTTCTTTTCCAGTGACATCACCCAGACCTTCCTCTTCTGTCTGCAGCGGGTGGCAGCGGCCCTGTTCCGTTCCAGAAATTTCCGCCGCCTTTCGTCGGGATCTTCATCCACCACCCTTCGCCTGCGTCCCCCTGTGGGCTGGGGCGGCTGTATGGTCTGGGTTGGCTGCATCTGTTGCGAGGCTGGTGAAACCTGTGGGCACAGAGAGGGAGGAGGCCATGGTAACCAGGAGGGACAAGGGAAGAAACCCGAGCTTATTTTATAATRCAGAGCACAGGAAGCCAGTTGCTTTAGTAAGCACATTGAACTTGTTTTCTATGAATGAAATAAACAATGAAATCACACTCGCCAAAGAAAAGAAAAAGCATCACTGAGCTTTAATCTGATGTTTTACCCAGAGACAGGAATGACTTAGGAAAAGATGTTGTTGGGTGGATTTTTTCCCTGACAGGCATTTGGCCAAATCATGATAGATGAAACATTTTGTTTTTCCTCCTTCAGGTGTAAGAAATGTTTTTATTTAAGGTACTTTCCAAAGAACTTTCAAGTAGCCAATGGATGGCTATACGGTGAAAACAGAGGGGTCCAGGTTGCCACATCACTGACGACTGTTATCTGCAGAAAACCTCTGGCAGGTTCTTTTCATTCAAGGGATGTTACAACCGCCTCCCTAGACAAATTCTGGGACTTTGTCACCACTGTGACTCTTACGGAAAGAACCCCGTGAAGCAGGAAGATGGCTGGAATCCTAGTTTCACTATTTCACAGGTTCTTCATGCCCAGGACTAGCTGGACCTGCAGACTCTAGATGGGTCTGCTGATCCTCAGAGTTCTGAGCAAGGTGGAGGAGAAGTCTGAGAGCTTCCCAGGTGATTGGGAGGCCTGACCTTTGATGCTGAGGCTGCCTTGATTCCACTGCATGTGTAGGACACAGAGGGACAGCAGACATGACCACATACCTGCGTCATAAGGAAGTCCCGGGAGTGGCAGAACACTTTATTAAAAAGTTTTACTGTGCTTATAGATTTCTTGTAAGGTCTGCATGGGACTCAGTGACATCTAAGGCTTTGGAGACCCCCACCCATGGAGCTTTATTTCTCTCCATAAGGCAGACGTGCAGCACCTTATGAAATTTCTACAGCTGATTCTTTATATGTCTGGACACTTAATGCTTTCCCTAATTCACTTTGCTCCTTCCTCCTTCTTCATTCTCAATAAAGGGTGCTTTCCCCCCACCTCTCCTATTTCTCAGTCACTCAGGTTTATGGCTGTAATACCTATAAAGTTGTTTTACAAGAGACATTTAACCTGCAGAAATAACAGGCAAAAGAGTTTTAAAAATGAAGCCAAACAACCTTTTCGACCACATTCCAACCCTCTGATTGAAATCAATCAGGATGACTGTAATTGTACTAATGATGGCTACGGGTTGACATCAGCTGACTGATGGTGATAGATTTCAGTCCTAACCTCTATCAAACCTTCTATGACTAACTGTAAAAGAATCAGGCTCAGGAGTGAGGTCGGACTGCATCTCAGTAATTTTATCTAAAGCAAAGACATTTTCTAAAATTCTTTATTGGCGACGCCTTTCCTCCTGATCACAGAGGAATAGCAAAATAAATTGTCTAAGGTCTTACTCATCAGAGTTGCTGATGATGACATAATCCTTGTTATTGGCAAAGATGTAGCACTGGTCATTTCAGAGGCTAACTCCTGAGCTCACTCCTGACACGCCAAGCAGTAGGAGGGAAAGTGCTCTGTGATGGTTTTTGCCTTTACTGTTTCTTTTGTGAATAATTAGCGATCTCTTATTGCCAGTCTCAGGCAAGACTAGGCAAAACTGGTTTTTCCATCTCTATTGCAGGGGCCTCTCTTTCAAAACCAGGTCCTCCCCTATTTCAATCAACCTGCAACTGGTTATGATTTTCCTGTGCCTTTGCCCAAATGTGGTAAGCCAGATGGGGTGGTTTGGGGTGTAGTGCAGGTTCTGGGTTTAAGGGAGGTGGGAAGTTGGTTAAGAGAAATTTCTGGTGTCCATGAAGTGACACCTGGACCTACAATATGATTATTTTTGCACTATAATAATAAGAAACAGGAAAAATTGCGAATGCAACCCTACAATCAGAAATTGTGTTCCTGGTAATTATCATTTTATGTTAAAGTGGAATTTTCTTGGCAATGATACTCTGCCAGTTTGGATCAAACAATGAATTGTGATTTTTGAAAAAGCAGGATTTATTCCAAGACATCTCATAGTCTCAGAGTTAGAAGGACTTTTATAAATGTCTATCCCTGCTATACAGAYAATTATACGATTGATTAAGCAATATGACAAGATCTCTGTGATCAGCCAAGTTGATAAAATTTGAAGACTGGTATTGTAGAATACAGTCTAAATTATCATTCAAATTTTAGCAAGACCAAACCAGGATTCTTTTTTCTTTTTTTAAAGTATGGGATAAAAAAGAAACTGTTGGTACAGCTAATTATAATAGCAATTAACTAATTGCATATACAATTGGCCACTTAATGACTTGAAACAGAGGGCAATTGGCTAATTGGTACTTAGCTAATGAATGACTTTTATATGTAAGGAGCTATTAAACTTGCTGGTGAATAACTTTCTCAAGAAGGCAACCAAACCTTGATGTTTTTCTTTTCCTTAAAAATTTAGTACATATGAGACTCGATTTGTCTAGCTTTGATCAGAGAGTTTCCTTTCTCTCTTTTAAATTCATGTCCCAGTGCAACATTTTACTAAAAATGTGACTAAAAAGGTGGTCCAGGTAGTATTTGATTGCTCAACTTCTTCTAAATTGTTTTGCTTTGGAATTTGTCATTGCTAACACATTTTGAAAACTTCTACAGAGATTTAATACTCACAAGAGCCTATGAATGTAGTCTATGTACTTTGTAAAAAGCAAGATTTAGGGAGGTTCATTGTTCTTTGTCCACAGTCACACAACAAGTAAATTAGAAAGAGAACTGTTCTGCCACTCTAAAGCTCTTGTCTTTAGAGAAGGAAGATGGAGGAGACAGTGAATAAGCGCTASTGGCGGTCCCAAGCTTCTGACACAGTTCTGACACAGCTGGTTGGGACCTGGCAGTGTAGGATGGGTGGAGGGGACTGACGAAGCTCATCCTACTGGAGGATCCAAAGTGTCTGGGGCCAGCCATGTTCTTGGATGTGCCCTCCATCTGCTTACTAAAACTCCCTCCTATATAGGGACTTGCCTCTCTCCTTGGTCTGGGTGACATAACGTCTGCCTGGTCCCCCAACTCTCTTTCAGTTTAGTCTAAATGCTGGCTTTCTTTTTAGCCACTCCTGGTGACTCTCCACCCTTGGGATTTTGCCTTTCTCTTGGTCTGATCATCTATGAGCTTGGCTCTCTCGCTCTCTGCTTCCTCCAACGCATTTCACATTTGGTGGGATGAGTCACCTCTCTTCARCATTTACACAGTACCTTATGCCCTAGCATCCATTACGGAGCTTATTTGTCTGCATGAATTGTTACTCTTTAGATTTTAACATWTACTGCCACTCAGGAATATTGCCCTTTGTATTTAACTTCCATTTCACAGGTGATAAATTTGAGTCCCTAGGWTGTCTTAAACTATAACAGATAGACCAGGGTTAGCATTAACTTCATTTTTCTCATTTTTTTTACTCATCTTTCATCATTAGTTTAAATTCCTCTTAATCCTCCCATTATCTTACTGTTTTTAGGAGCAGCTTTGAAATATGCTGCAAAATACATTTTGGAGAACTTCAAGTTTATGGTCCTCCCTCCCAACAAGATGGGCTTGAAATTTACTATAATATTTAGAGAAATTATGATCTGATAGTGTCTTATGGGTAATTGTTGTCTCAGGAAATGAACAAAGCTTCCCAGAAGGTCCTATGGAACACCCAGGCCTGTCAAGCAAGGCTGCTTCAGGGTCCCCCCCCACTCCCACCCCGCACACACACGGTTAGAGCTTGCACCCTTATCAAGAAGAGCTAGAAGAGGAAACTGGTCATGGAGAGGGTCTACCTGTGCTTGGCTGCCGGTGTGCAGGGGCGGGTGCGGCGAGGTCTGGTGATGTGCTGGGTGTGCGTGAAGGTGGGAGTGCGAGTGGTGGTGTGGGTGGTTCTGCTGGTGATGGGGCTGAGGGTGAGCGTGGTGTGCTGGGTGTTGGTGCTGGTGCGGGTAGGGGTGGTGGGCTGGCAGCGTCTGGTGCTGATGCGGGTGTGAGTGCATGTGGTGGTGTGGCGTCTGGTCCTGCCGGGAGCCCATCATTTCCATCATGTGTCCCATGGTGTTCATATTCCCGTTGGACATGGCAGCAGGGTGGTGAGTCAATGCAGCCTTCAGCCTCTGCAACAGAACAAACAGAGAAARGACAACTGAGGTCACTCGTGGACACAATGGGAATTTTGAAGCAAATTGACTCATGGGTTCAGTTTGATAATATTTCAAAGTACTATTGTCTACATTGCTACTCGTAGCAGGATAGCTTCAGTATTAACACATACTCACATATTGTGGGAGGTAGGAGGAGTAATGTAAGCCATAGCTGTTAAAGATTCAGGTATTCCACTAAAAGTTATTTCCTACTCTGTAATCATGCACTATATTCTATTGATAGCCAAATGCAAGTGCAAACCAAACAGTACCATTCAATATGATAATGCCACTGAACAGAGGGCTCCCATCTGATAGGTTGCTACATTTTGTAAGAATCAGAAGAATTAAAGATTCTACCTCTCAAAAGATTTCTCAGATGCATGGAAGAAATGTTTCAAATTTTCAAATGCAGGAAGACTGCTGTTGTTAGAGTTCAAGTTAGCAGTAGTGATCCATAAGCTYTGGAGGCAGTATGCAAGTCCTCTTCAGTTGTTACCAAGTCCTCTCATGGTCCCTTCTGATAATCTAACTTTTCTCACATGGTTACTTTCTTCCAACTATTTTTTTTTTTGGGGGGGGGGATCGAACTCACGGGTACTGGACCACTGAGCCACATCCCCAGCCCTATTTTGTACTTTATTTAGATACAGGGTCTCACTGATTTGCTTAGCACCTCACTTTTGCTGAGGCTGGCTTTGAACTCGTGATCCTCCTGCTTCAGCTTCTGGGATTGTAAGCATGTGCCACTGCACCTAGCTACTTTCTTCCAACTTTGACAAGGAAGTGAGGAAAGTAGAATGATCTGGAGTATTGCGTTTGTACTCTTCTGCAATGGTATATTTCTAGCACAAAAGCATTGCTCTTTACCTCTTTAACCAGCAAACAACACACAAAAAACTTCTACTTGAACTTAAAGCAAGAGTGAGCCAACTTTTTCTATAAAGAGCCATACAGTACATCTTTTCAACATCATGGGCCTGACAGTTTTGTACAACTCCTTGTGCAACCATAGGCATTATGTAAATGTATGAGCATGGTGTTTATTTTCCCAAACGCCAATATTTAGGGACAGGACRTTTGAATTTCATATAATTTTCACATCATAAAATCTCTACTTTTGTTTTTGCCTCCTTAATAATTTAAAATGTCAAAACCATTCTTATCTCTTAGTTGTACAAAATCAGATGGTCAGTCATAATTTGCTAAGTCCCTTCCAAAGAACCAGTTGGTTATCAATATATCCCAGCTTCTTAAAAATTGTTTTTCTTCTATGTAGGCAGTTATAATCCTCATCCCAAGGGGCACAATGAGCCAAGTACTGTGGAAGACAGTTACTCCTTGGAAATGTATCCTATCCAGAGATGAGAGTCTAACTGGCAAGCGCACGGTGGCTTCATCAAGTATTTACTAGGGGTTCAAGTTCTCTCCAGATTTGGACTCTTATCTGCCTGATGGCAGTGGTGTGTAATCAGTGAAAGAAGAGAGAGTTGCATTTAAATGATGATCAAAATCACCTTATCTAGTTCTGTACAACATTCATGATTCTTAACCATCAAACTATTAGAAAATACTAATTCAATTAATTGAAATCTTTAGACATAAAAAAACACTCCATTAGTTTTTTTTTTTTTTTTAAGGAGGGCAGGATGGCATATTCAGTGATGCAGATAGTTGCTGAAAACATTTCCTACATCCTGATCTACTAGCCACCCAATCCACCTGCCTCCTCTCATGAAAAGGTGTTCATGTGACTGCATGGTAATACCCACGTGCGTAAAGATGATCCTGAGGAAGCTTGCTTCCTGAATGCCTGGGAAAGACAGACACTAGCATTGTGTTGACCACTAAAAAGGAAAGTCAACTATGCTCCTCTTTTCAAGGTTTAGAAATGATTTCACTGTTTTTATAAAAATGCTCATTATAAAAAATTTAAGCAATGCTTTAGAGTGCAATGACATCAGCCCCACAGGAGCCAAATGTGTTGTTTATACTGGTGGGTAAACAACATTCCAGACAATTCTTTATGCATAGGTAGAGATGGACGAACAAGTAGGATCATTTTACAACAGGGGAATCATGATAAAATTTAAAAACCCTCTGACAACAGCACAGCAAATGAATGCCATTGAATTGCTTTACATGTTTCTTTAATCTGAGAAAGTTTCTGAATGATATTTCCCAATTTAAGAGTGAAAAAAAGTATGAAAAAAATTATGTTGAAACCATGATTTCTTTTTAAAATTGATTTAGTAGATAGTATTGTTGAACTTTCTAAGCTATGTTTTTATAATTTCATTACTATAAAAGTATATAATTGCATAGTAAAAGAAAGAAAATCAACTACTGCCTAGCCTTCTTCTCCTAAGCCCCCGTCTCATTCCTTACATGTAACTTTTGCATTTGTACTCTTCTGAAGTGGTATATTTCTAGCACAATACATGTACCTTCAGAAATTTGCTTGGCATTTAGAAGGATATGTTCATGCAAACCCCTTTTCTAATAGGTAGCTTTGTAATCTGCTTTTTGTCACTTTACCACTATATCTTTAACATCTTTTCATATCAGTGAAAAGAACTGACAGTAATAACTATCATTAATTTAGCACTCAATATGTGCTGGACCTTATTCCATGTATTATAAATATTAAATCCCTAAGCCCCTGCAAGGCTAAAAAGAGAGGGGAGAGGCAGGGCCACATTCCCGAACTCAGCTGCTAAGAAGAAGGGAGGTGCTCTACCTCAGAAGCCTTTCTCTGTACCAGAAAGAAGGTGTGGGAAGGCATGCTATTCACCCTGTGCCAGAAACAGGAATAAATTGTGTTAAGCCACCTCTCCATCATCAAAAGGAAAGGCAGAAAAAGATGAGAAGGAGTTAGAAAAGGTGTCAAGATGAGAGGTCATGCTGTGAGGTCCAGCGGTAGCCATGTGTGTCTGTTAGCAGACAACTGGAGCCCCAGGCACGCACACTCTCTGGAGCTTGGTGGAGGGGAGGGTAGATAGAGAGAATTTCCAGAAAGCCCACCTGCAGCACAGAGCCATGCAGGACTCAGCATCTTCACCTCTCTTGTGCATTGCAAGGAATTGACACCCCCACACCCATTTCAAAACACAGATAAGGAGGGCTAAGGTCTGCACCTTCCTTCTCCCTCCTCCACTTTCTACACCTTGGGGAGTTAGAAGTATCTTTGTATTGTTCAGGGGATGAGGATCAAAGCTTCCATGTGTAAATCAATCAGTGTAAATCAATTCCTGATAGTGTATGGTCCCAGTAGAATTATATTCCTTTATTTAAAAAAAAATTTAGTTTGTAGGGCTGGGAATGTGGCTCACTGGTAGAGTGTGTGTGTAGCATTCATGAGGCCCTGGCTTCAATCCTCACCACCAAAAAATAAAAAAAGCTTGCGTTTGTGTTTAGTTATATGGTTTTTAGTATGATTATTCTATTAATATCCATCAATCATCCCAGATCATAAGTTTCAGGAGAACAGGAACCAGGTTGGATTTTGCTCAGTGTTAATTTCCCAGCTTTAGCACAGAGCCTGGTACATATTAGACATGGAATTAATATCTTTGGAAGGAATGGATGAGTGGAAATGTGAAGGAATGAATGAAGCCTTCTGAGGCTTATGATGAGGGGTGCAGCATTTTTTTGTCCTGGGTCACTGCAAGTGTTATTTGTACGGGAACGTGATTTTATTGATCAGTCAGGTTAGGACAATCAATTGCAGGAGGCCTGTGGGCAGATAGGCTATAAAAGCACTATCAAAAGATCTCGGGCTCCCATTTTTTACCCCAAATACAGATTGCAGAATCACATCCGTTACACATTCACATTTTTACATAATGCCATACTAGTGACTGTTGTATTCTGCTACCTTTCCTATCCTAAAATGGGAGTTCATAACTCACTTGAAACTAATGTTTGAAATATGACATGTCAAGAGCTTTGTAAGGTTTTGAACAACCAATAATAAATAAATAAATAAATAAATAAATAAATAAATAAATAAATAAATAAATAAATAAAAAGATCTCGGGCTCCACACCCAGCCTGCCCTCTAGAAAACAAAAACAGAGAAAAAGAAAAAGAAAACACAAATAATAAATAAGAGGAATGAATGCACACTAACTTCCTCTTGATATATTTTCCCTAAAATGAGGCATGGAAAATGAAAAAGCTCTTTGGGAGTGGGGCATCATCGTGTTGTCTTTTCAATGCTACAAACAACTTTTCCCCCTTTAATTAGGAGCAAATGGAGCCTGACAAATAAATACTATGCACCAGATCTTCATCTCTCAAATAATTAGCTTGTACTGTTAAGGGAAATTACTTGATTGCCTCAAGTCTGTTCTTGCATGTTCTATGCCAAGACAATAACACTAGCAATGCTAATAACATTCCATTTAACTATTCATTCACCCGACAAATATTTACTGGGTCTTGACTATGTGCCAGGCACCTCACTAGGCACACTGTTACCTGCCCACTGTCTGAAGCAAAGCAAACGGAAGATACATAAAAACAAAGCTTTTTTGAAAGCACTGGTGAGAAAAAATACACTCTGACCTATGGAAATGAAGGCTGAGAGTCTCCCTCAAAAAGCCTCAGGCCTCTGGGTTGAGTTTACCCTCTAAACATCAGCTGCCATCATATTTGAAGGAAAGCAGTGAAGATAAATGATTATSAAGCTGCTCTGCATGTGCCACATTTAATATTCTCCATGTCACTTCAAAACAGTCTGGGACACTTCTCAAAGTCCTAAGGAGCCTGCTGCTTCCCTATATACCGGTGCCAATAAGAGTAACCACACTGTAAATCATTAAAATATACCAAATATAGATATTTGTACCCCACTCTCTGAGCAATGATAAATGACCAGTAAATGAGTCCAAGCTGTATTTTGCAGAATGATTTTTTTCTTTTTGAAGCTGAACTGTGTCTTGTTTTAAATAACATTCTGCCTAATGCCA